TGGAACTAGAGTGCTACCTCAAGGGATCTTATTGTACAATTTGCTTCTCAACCGTTTCTAATAGCCAAGACGATCTTCCTTAAAGTTAATCTTTTGGCTCCGTGCGCAGCAATTTAAGGGCGGGAATTGTATCCTCCCTTACTAATTCGCTCAGTTAAATGGAAAAACAAATAAAAGCTTACTTCGCACTTACTGTTCATTCTTTTAGACAATCGATTTAACGCTACAGAGTAGCGATGTTTTGTCTTGTAATAAGTCAGTGATCGACACTGAATCAGCACGCGGCGGTTCGACTAATTACATAATCACTTGGTAATTCTGAAAGTAAAGTTTACTTGTTACCTAATGCATCAGCTTGGACCTTTGATCCATCTGACAAGATTTAAATCCTCTCCAATCTATGCTCATCCAGTGTGTGGGTACAGCAGACGCCTCTTATATTTAGCAGCCCTTAAAACTGTGATGTGAGACTGACAGAAAATCGCGCTAAGCCATGCATTCGCGAAACGTTTCAAATCTCCCCTTTTGGCATATAGAGACACTTCTTAAAAGTGCACCCTGACAAATGTTGGGCGTTTAAAAAATCTGCTTGTTCGTGACTTATTGAGGCTTCTGTATTTGAGGTTGTTGCTCAAGTGTATGCAAACTTTTAGTGTCACAAAATCTACAATCTACATATTAGCGGCCAATGCTCTCAGCTACCAAGTAGGCTTAGAAGTCTGCAAGCACACGTGTATTTTCTCGGTCTCGCCTTCATAAAGAGGGATTCCCTTTTTAATGCCTAATGTTCAACATTTGCCTGAGAATACCTTATTGTATCTTTCTATTGTTCATAATGGGCGTGATGGGTGTGGCACTTTTGATGGAAGGTACACCCATTGTTTGTGAAAAACTTACGCCATCCGACATGCTAAATGTGGCTTTGTTCTCCTTCAATTTGACTTCGCTTTTAGCACAATGTACGAGAGTGTACATTACAAGAGGCTAATTTCTCATCACCGTCACACTACGCGCACAAAAGTCTGTTCCATTGCATCCTCGACGGTGAGGTGGGATGTTGAAACTATCAGGGCACATAAAGCTTAGACACCAAGTTTGTAATATCATGATTATTTGAAGTTAATAGAAGTTCACTGTTATCTACACAAACTCTTGGTGGCATTAATTAAAAGCTGTGCCAATCTCAAATGGCAAATACTCCTTAATTCTGATGTGGCACAGCGCGACTTCAAGGAAGGAATCAGTCAATGGAATTACCATTCACGACACAAACTCTCCTAAAAGTTGTTTTTGTAGGTACTTTAAGCGTGGAAATTAATAAAGGACACTCCTCCTAATTGATGATAGCAGATTTCCAATTTGTTTAAGTTTGTGTCCCCTGGGGTGTCACTAGCCGTACTTCCTCTCCACTGTGGACCATGACAAATGCCAATAAAGTATATTTCGGCACAGTATTCGGGGTATTACAATACTGTGGAAGTATCAAATCGCTACACCGGAAGCAAAGGCAAACACTCAACCTGGATGTTATTTCCATCACGACAGAAAGGGAACATCGAATGGAGATAAGGGAACCTGTGACAGAAAGTAGAGAATGTTCAATATCTTTCAGCAAGTACTCCGACTAAAGTTAATTAGTAACGATTTTGATGGCTAAAGAATATCGAACTCACGGAGCCGTTTACGGTCACTAAAACTCTGATAGGAACATGCTCACCTCGATTGCAAAGATCTTTGCTAAATATCTGAGTGAAACCAGAATGTGAGGTGGTGAGGAATTAGACGCGACGTATTGTTGCATAAATACAATCGAAGTCCTGCATTTTGCCAGAGATGTCACCTCCTAATCCGCCTTCGTGACAATGGAGAATAAGCCACGAAATAGTGACATTGGGAAGCGACAGTGAAGAATGACGTCCCACAACGCGGACAGGTGACCACCACGAAACCCTCAGGAATCCACCATTGGTTCTAAATCCCCTCTGCCAAATGAAATCTGACATGGAAGGGTATGAAAAGCGTTGCACCGAACGCTCAAAATGATAAGGACAACGCAATGCACTATCTTAAAACCTTGAGACGCGACCAAGAACAATAATCGAGCCGACCTAATCGAAAAGAAAGCGACAGTGGAGACCCAGAGGATTCTCAAGAGAGATCAAAAACACTCCGTGCATCGCGAAGCCCTCCCAATTTCGGAGAACTCCCAACGCCCTTCACCGCCAAGAACTCAAATCACTTATAACAGCGCAGCGACCACCATGAAGCAGCATCCTCCAGCCCCGATTCTCCAGACTACTAACGAGTAATGCAACGCATTGTACTTCTTTTACCGAATCTGAAGTTCGCCTCTGTTTGGAAACAGAATTTAGGTATAAAAATGTATTGACCGCCATACGCAGCCACAAGTAATGACAAGATCACCGATTTAGTACGTGGCCTTGCGATTGTGGCGTTTCACGGTAGTAAAGAATTAAACACCATAAATTCGCTTTATTGATGATTTTTACGGACAGAATGGGCAAATTCGCAAGGAAGTACATCGAGGTCGCTCAAAAACATCGACATTGCCACAATGTCCGTTGTGATCTTCGACGATTCCATCATAGGATAAGCAATTGTCACCTGGTCGATGAAATTGCAATGAAGGGCCACCAAAGAGAATCGAGTAAGCCGACCTCAAGACACCTTTGCATATCAAACGCACTCATACACACATTACGCCCAGGAGCCACGTCTCTCCCGTTTCAGGAAAACATTGGTGTGCCACAAGCTCTAGTCTTGATAGAAGAAACACAATTCGGAGACCGCGCTGAATTCCACTCAGACTATTTTCACGTCAATATTCGAATGGTGGTGATAAGTTTAATACATGTGGATAGGCAAATAGCATTGTCTACTTTGAAGACGGCTATTCAGCAGTACAACGCTGTCCTGTGGACGAAAGGAAACAATACAGCAATGTAATATGGATAGTCAACACAGCATGATGGAACACGCCGAAATACGATAGCCAGAACAAAATTGGCCCTACACCAAGACCGAGGACTGAACAATAAAAACATAAAATAGGTAGGAATGTGTTAGAAATATGGATTTTAATATTCTACGCATTGCCTATTTACCAAAAGAAAAACGCATTCTACTTCTACGAAAGAGATCGAAATAAATGTTGGGTTCCTATTATAGCAAAACCATACAGTATGAAAATGTATTTAACGAAATTGAGCATTAAATTTAATTTATATGCAATTCACAAGCACAACATAAATAATCAAAATGCGCATAAGGACAGTGGCCGTAAGACTACACATACTAACTTTTTACAGAATCTCTATTGTAATTCTTGCGTTATTTAAAAGGAAGCAATAATTGCACTCAAGTTGTTTAAATCGCTTGCTAAAACTGTTCTCTGCACTTTAGCTTGGGGCTTTACGGCGAGGATGTTCTCTGTTGCTCGAAGGTGAAAGTTTATGCATTTACATCGGTGGATGTATTGCACGTTCTTTCGCCATCTTGCAAAAGAGTGGACTCCAATTTATAAGTTTATTCGGATTTTTTGCTTTCTATAGCGCGTTTCGCCTTCCTTATTTTTGTAATTTCTAGCGGTTTTGAATACCTGCGGTGCCACGATGTTGAATACTTTTACCATTATTCCTTCGTAATCATATTCCTTGGGTTTGGATCGGGCATCCCGGCTTCTGGAAGATCACGTTATGAAGTCATGTACTAGTACAAACGTCTATATACTTGCATCTTACACTTTGCATGTTGACTTTAAATTGTCTGACTGCTTTAGAACTATTTTACCTCTTTTTTGAAACGATTGTAAGTCTTGACAACGTCTCACAAGTATCACCATCCATTGGAGTGCGGGCCATGTATGGTAGCGTGTCCATGTGTCTATTTAACTTAACCTACTTGTGATGACGTACTATTGACGAGTCCCCAAGTTGGGCAACCCTAGACAATTGCTAGTGCCGAATTACCCATCCGCCGAAAGATAGCTGCGGCCCTCGTTACGGGCAGTGTTTCTCAGACTTGCAAGGACAACGCTCTGGATCGAGGAAACTATGTTCACTGCTCATCTCGCCCCTCCCTGGGAGCTGGTTGGAATGGCCTCAGGGGCCGGCGCGTGCACACCTATTCTAATCTCAAGGATTTGATACCTTCCGTGAGGTTTAAGCGACGAGGTCTCTCGAAGCAATTTGTTGCTGCCCCTTCTGAGGACTGTTGGTGTCAAAATAGCCCTGACCGTTACACGAAGTCACACTTGCCAGATTTAGCAGCGTACTGACGCTGACAAATAGTATCACAGCAGTGTATAGCGGTAGTTTTTTGATTGGCTGCGCCTGCTTGGCTCTCCAGTTTCACGCTCGTGCTGCAGGTCTGTCTGTCGCACCACCTCATTCCTGGTTGGTCCAAGCAGCTCACGCAATGCTGGACGATCGATGTACTGACAAAGTTGCTATAACGCCTTGTCGGGTAGAATGATGTGAATGCTGTGTTGACCCCAGTTACTGTCTGCGCAGCCTGCCCTCACGCCAGCTGCCTGAGCAAAGCAACATCATGATCAGGCCACGTGAATACCGAGAACAAGTCATTCATTGAAACAGGATACTTTTTAGATGGGGCTCTACAAGTAATACACTTAAAAAGCTTCTAAATGCTGTCGCGACTGGAATGCATATAAAATAAGTAACGGATTGGTGTTGCGATCTGAGAGATATTAGATTGAGTATGATACGATCGAGAGGTCTGGCCTACACGAACTTCAAATGAACTTGCGAATTTAAGGAAAGATGAGAAATATAGGTGCTGGACGCAGACAATAATAATGATAACATTTCGCAACAATAATTTGCAGGGAACAAATGTATGCAGTAATTATGACTGAAAATAAGTAGCAATGTGATAGAGACAGGATCAAATGCTGTACAAAAGGCAAGGCGTTCCTCCGAAGTAGATGGAACTTTGTACACAAGAGAAGGTATAAATGCTTAGGAGTCATCATTTGAGGACTCGTTGTCGACGTCCACGACCAAAGGGGTGCTCGTGATGACTGACATGGGGGGTACGGATTCAGAGCAGTTGGGAACGGGATTGGGCGCCACCACAGGGTTTGAGGACGCAGAGACAGAAGAAGAGGGCACCGACGATGGAGGCAGTGTCGCGGTGTCCGAGTTGGCCAGCGTGTTTTGGGCGGTCACGTTACCAGTCACGCTGTTTACGAAGAGACGCAGAGCCATATCATGAAGTGTGCTTGGAGACCGCGCCAGCATCGGATAACGTGTCAAGAGCATGTTGCGCATCGCATTGAAGGATTCCCAAAAGACATCTGAAATGTAGATGTATTGCATCACGACCCAGATAGCGGCCAGTGTGTTTCTTCTGAAAAAAAGATTTGAAGCCGAATACACATTTTTAACGCAAAAACAGGGGTTAAAGCGAAGCATGAAGGCTCAAATAGAGACCAAATTACCTCAGGTGAAAATGCTAAAACTACTGCAAAGAGTGACTGTGCAGTTCTGCAGTAGTCTTAATGGCTCAAAAAAAGCATGGTGAAAATTTACGAAAAGCAAAAGTAAGTGTCTGGAAGGAAATTGGTGATTACGACGACGCCGATTTCCTTCCGCTAAACACACTAATGATTTGTGTTCAGCAGTCACAAAATCTTCGTTGGTGAAAGGAAAATTTTTCGTGGGGAAACGACTGTCACGATGGACATTTTGCGAGGCTCTATAGCATACGAGCTCGTTACCAAAGAATTTGCTGTTCGTGAAAATAGAATAACACTCGATAAAAGTGAAAAACCACATTTAGGTGCAGGGCAGTGCAGCAGTTAAGCAAGCTGGAGCACACATACACTTTTAAGTGCAGACTCAGGTTACCTCGTTTACGTAATTGAGGATTCAGAGCCCCCAACCTGGGAGCAATTGGACGCAAAGCCTCTAAAGTTACAATAAGTTAATGTTTTGAGAACGAATGATACAAGGTGGCACTGCTTGCCTTTTCCGTGGTGGACTCCATCGTAAATATTTGCAATTAAACCATATCTAGGTAATAACTTTCAATGTAAAATCTCAGTCACAAATAAAAATTCAATCAACTAATCTAAGAGTAGTATTGTAAGAAAATGCTGTTCTATCCGCAGTAGTAATAATGCGGAGCCCCTTCCAAAACAGTGGATGAATGGGAATGAGTAGGTAGATATAAGTAGGACCAAATCGCCAACGGAGACACAACTTGGTGTTGATACCAAGCGCTTGAAAGAAATATAATACACTCCTAGCGGCTCAGCACAAGAGCCCCAGAATAGCAACTTACCTCGCTGTTGTTGTGGCTGTGGCCTAGAACCAGAGGACTCTGGTCGATGAGAAGGAAGATTATGAGCTGGAACAGTGGTATACATGGAGTCAATGAGCCCGAGAGGACTGGGGTTAATCGATGCATAGGGCAACCGATTGCCAGCAGTAGCGGCGGCGTAAGCAGCAGCCATGGCCATCATACGCTGACGCTGCTCCTCCTCAATACGTTGACGCTGAGCCATCAACGCCGCAGCAGCTTCTGGATTGTTGAGAAGCAGTCGTTGGTAATCAGTCATTGGGCGTCCCACACGCTTTTCCTCCTCATACTCGCGCCAAGCCTCGGCCCGTTCGGCCTCAGATAGGCCTTCGTCTAGCCGGTTCTCCAGCAAGGAATCGTGGTTATGGTAGCTGACCACAAGGTCTGGATGGTCTGAGAGAAGATCGGCGAGTAGACGATCCTTGGGCAGAGCTGGTGGAGGTCTTTTCTCTGCTGTTTCAGCGTCCCACACATCTGGATCGAAGCTGTAGAGCTCTCTTAAGTCTTCCTCTTTGAAGTGCCTATCAATCTGCTGTTCGTCGATAACACGCAGCGCAAGAGATTGCTTCGTCACCTGCGATTATTTAAAAGAGAAAAACTTCAGCCACGGATTGAAGGTGGTTATAAAGAATTGTAAAAGCACTGCAGTGCAATGGTACTCAAGCACTAAAATTAAGGAAAATATAGAGGATGGCACAATTAACAACCAATACACATCATCGGATGCCTATGTAATGTCGCCATAAAAACAAGATTCAATTCTGCACAAAATTACCCCGAAATTCGGTAATAAGAAAGTAGGCCACAAATACTACCAATCAAGGTCAAAATAATTCATGCAGATTTATTGGGAAAAGACACCTGCAAAATTACCAGCGAGGCGTAAACGTTTTTGAAGCAGTAATCACCCCACAGAACAGCATTACTCCGGTAGCTAAATCCTGTCGTTGACAATGGACAAGACTCATGGCATGATATGCGACTATAAAAAAAGTAATTCCTAAGGCACTATACGTATGCTACTTACTTGACGATCATACATCTTTTCTTCCATTGTGCCTTGCGCAACCATGCGATAGATATAAACTGGCTTGGTCTGGCCAAATCGATAGCTTCTAAATATGGACTGCACATCGTGGCTGGGATTCCAGGACACATCAAAAATGACCAAACGATTCGCTGCGGTCAGATTTACACCCAAACCACCCGCTTTAGTCGAGATGATCAACAAACGAAAACGCTGGCTGGGGCCATTAAATCGCGTCTGTAGAGAGTTTCGCTGGACCGCTGAAAGACTCCCATCGATTCTTTCGTAGTCGTGACCACGTCTCCAAGTATTTTGATCCATGTCTGAGAAGTAGTCAACCAAAGAAGGCATCTCAAATGTCTCTGATTGAAGAAGCTTGTCCAAATCTTGTGATTGCTTTGAATTTGTATCCACTTCCAGACCCTAAAATGAACTGAGCATCAAATACTGCAGCATGGGGCACGAGTACTGATTCAATGTCCATTAAAGTGCCTTCCTCATATTATGAACTACTAAAAAGGAAAGCTGGATTTCATCGCCCTTTCTAGGCTCATGCAATATAAAACTTGCGATGCAAAGGAATGAAGTGTCCTTTATTATCAGTTAAAAAATCCAAGACTTTTGGTTGTACTTATGTCATCGAATAACCCAAAATTTTGGAAAAAGCAGAATAGCTGACCTGGGACATGCACCACTGCCTGTCGATAGCTGCAAGGAACCATTCGATAAGATCAAGAGAGAACAGACTTTGTGAGAAGATAAGGACTTTATCACCGATTTCGGAGCACTTTTTGAGAATGAAGAAGAGAGCACTCAACTTGGCACCCACATCGATACGCAGATCGTATTCGTCTCGATAGAAGGCGTACCACCAAGGCTTCAGCAGGTCGCTTTCACTCTCGTTATTTGAGTTGCCATTAGTCTGATTCTCGTGCCTCGTTCCCTGCTCTACGTTCGTCAATGCTCGCTGGTTAGCCTCGTCTTCACTATCAGAGATGTCCACTACACTCGCGTTTCTTCGCATTTGGCGGAGTCGTGCTCGTGTTGAACGAGAAGACGTCGAAGTAGCCTTGGTCGCAACAACGTCTGAACTGGAAGATACGGAATCGGATCCAGAATTGATGGTTCTACCAGAATCGGTTTCCAACTCAGAAACACTGGTGCTGCTTTCATCCTCGTCCACCTTTTCTTCACCCTCACTCGTCGAATCTTCTAAGAGAAGCTAAAAATGGTGAAACATCAGCATAGACAACGGCTTTAAAAAACAGCAATTCAATAAACACAAAAAAGAATTAATCCCTGTAGGTTAATTTTTGTGAGATTTGCAATGACGGAGTTGTTAAATAGTGGCCGGTAGAGATTATATTAGTGTCTACCTCATCCATCAACCGCAGGAAAGAAATCTTTAAAGCCCAATTTCTACAAGAAAAGAACTCTTCTACCAAATCCAGTCGGTATTTAAAAGAACGCACCCTCCTAGCCTCGCGGGTCTCGTGCATCCGGAGGGTGTAGGGATGGGTCCAAACCCGGTAAAGGGTTTGCTGATCACGGAAAAGTGTATTTCGTTGGTCGTCCCCTGAACCTGAGACACCCCTTTCTATGCGGTGCTGCAGGAAAGCCCGATATAATTCGCACTGCACTTTGGAGAGGCGAATTTTCAAAACATATTCCAAGCGGGGTGGGAGATATTGAGTTAGACAGCCGTAGTCTCTCCGCTAAAAGGAAGATTATGCAGACTTGTAAACATCAAAGTACAAATAAAGCATCAGACGACTGAATAAAACAACTTCAGGTAGTTAAAATGGACTCGTGCGAAACCGTATGTGGAATGGGTATAATCGGCGTAGATATACCTAGCTTTGTGGGTGCGGCCTAAAACAGTGATCCATTGAGTCGCGTAATGATTCACGAATAATGTCAAAGGTAGTAAGAGAACAAAATGCTTAAAATCAGCCAGGTTTGGTGAAAACTGAAACTACGATCCCTTCTGTCCGGAGATGGAGTGAGATCGTCAAGGCACTTTCAGAAACCCGAATTGTTAGTAATCCACTGCCCTGAGTGTTTATTCCATCGATCAGACTTCCTTTTGATAGTAAAATTAACTAACCAATGAACAAGCACAACGAATAAAGCACCTTAAGTGACGCTAAGAACACCAAGTGAGGCACAGGTCGCAGTTAACTAGCTGGATAAGTATCAGCAAAACTATAACAATTAGAAACTAGTGGAGTTTAATAAGTGGTGAAAGATGGCACAGTACTGACCTGTACACATCCGTCAAGAGTTTTAAAGAGAACATGGGCGCGTTTCTTCATAAGCTGAACATCACGTTGAGTGGAGTTCGAATGCTGACCATTTTTGATTGGATTCACGAAACGGTTGGCGAATTCTCTAGCAGATCCCAGCAGATTCGGTTTCACAAAGTTTACCATTGTCCAGTCTGGAAAAGAGCAAATATGAACTGAGACACCAAAGTGAAGCTAAAAATTAAACAAAATGAGCAACAAGCAGCATCAACAGTGACAGAGGCTGGAGAATGAAGACAGGTCAACACCAAATGTGAGCCAACATGAATCAACCACAAAGAATACGTTAATCTTGGTATCGAAGAGAAGGCTGGTTTGCCAAACAACACGATTGTGGAGAAAGAAGAATGTACTCAAATACCTACACTCAGAAAGGTTGTTCTGTAGTGGAGTGCCAGTGAGGATGACTCGTTTTGGTGTTTTGAGGTTGTTTATTGCTTTGGTGACACCAGTTTTGCAGTTTTTCAGTAGGTGCCCCTCATCGCAGACCACAACATCCGGTCCTGGGTCGATGAGAGCAGTCGGAATGAGCTTCTTATAGGCCTGCTTACGTGTCTTTTTGAGCAACGAGGTAGTGATATTGCGGTACATATCATAGCCCATCAGAAGGATTCCACCCTAAAGTTCAAATGTGAGTGATTCTATTAATGATCGACGAGCAGAACTTAAGTTCGACGCGCAAAAGAAGATTTCATCAACACAACTGTTGACCAAAGTAAAAGTTACTAACAAATACTAATGATGCTAAAGTACACCCATTCAAAATATATCTGACTTTGGAGCGCTTACCTCAGAGTACCAATGACGAATGACATCGATACGGAAATTGTTGGCGACCGCCGTTGCCAGCTCATAGACATTGACTTCTGCATTCTCTGGCATCCAGTGCCGCCATTCCCGGTGCCAGTTAAGAAGGGTGTTCACCGGACAGAGAATGAGACACGTGCTTATTCCCAGACCAATTTCCTTGTGCATCAGTAAGGTGTGGATGAAGGTAATTGTAGAAAGCGATTTACCCAGCCCCATACAATGCGCTAAGATGGCGCCACTAAGCCTACTTCTGTTCTCCTTGTGCTCCTCCACAGACTCAATTATGTTGTCGTAAAGGAAACGCACGGCTGGAAGGAGACAAAAGCATTGACACGACCCAAGACCATAAATGTTTACTTCAATTACACCACAATCTAGAAATGCACCCATAAATGAGAACTAGGTCTGACTGAAAGCTGCATTCAACTGAGGATAAAAGTTAAACCCCGTAAATACACATGGAAAGAAGACACAGACGTTCTCCATAAAAGCTTATTTAAATGTAGGGATGAGCTACCTTGCACTTGGTGGGGTTTCAGATGCTTAACAAGATCTGGATGTACTTCGACAAGAGGCTCCTCAGAATCCTTCCGGAAATCGAGAATCAGGCGCGAATTCTTTGATGCAGATGCTTCGTCCGTATCGTCCAGCACGCTGTTGTACTAAAAATTATTAAGGACAACTTGTGACACCAATTTTCAAACGTCAGTGGTACTTCTAGTTGAAGTATCCGAAATAGCACATGTAACCTAGAAACTATAGGGTAATTTGAATAAAGAACCTATTTGGATTCCATCCCCGATGCCCCAATGCTACCGCAATGTCACCAACACCGACCATTTGAGATATGCAGTAACTAGTAAACCAAAATTTTCCACGTCACATGTACACTCAGCTTAGGAAACCACTAAAATTCATTTTAAGCCAGAAATCTGACTTGGAGAGCGGTACAAGTGCAATCCACTTTTGACAAACACAAGTATTCGAAAGTCCCACAGAAATAAAGTAGATATGCATCACCTATTTTTATTATGGACAAAAACCACTTAGAGCCTACCAATCTCTGCCGTTCTTCAAGACGTTTTCGCCTCTCACGTTCAAGAGCTTCTGCATTTTTGGTTTCAGAGGAGAGCTTTTTATCCTTCAAAATTTTCCTGATTTTCTTCCTTCCTCTTTTACCATCCTTGTCGTCAACATCATCACCCTCCTCCACTGCCTCTTCTTCTTTCTCTTCACAAACATCTCTTTTCGTTTTTTCCCAAGCATCTTTTTTGTTTCTACCCCTTCTTCCTTTCTTGATCCCATCAGACTCACCAGGATGATTATCTGAGAGACTACTGTGAGTATTGCCACTACTAGTGCTACTAGCACTTGAAGACCTTCGATGCCGACGCAAACGATGTTTCATAGAGCGCCCACGTTTTCTCGATTTATCGACTTCCACCTCGTCATCTCCACGTCCAATTTCCGCGGACCCGCCTCCACCCGCCTTTTTTATCGTTTCCTCATCAGAACCTGAAGAACCGATGTTCCGACGTCGCAATGTGGGTCTCTTCTTACTATTTTCAGTGGTAGGTTGAGAAATGACTTCGCATTCGTTTTTTTGATTCATATTTATCTCCCCGCCTTCTCGAGACACCATAAATTTATTATCGGCCATCTCATTGCCTTCATCGTCAGAACCAGAAGAAGTTATCCTCCGACGTCGAGCAACCGGTTTAACTCTATTACATCCGATGGAAAAATCAGGAGTGACTTCGCGTTTATTTTCGTAATTAAGAGCATCTACATCTTCTTTCCACTTTATCCTCGTTGGCTTGCTTTCCTCCGACTTGAAAACTTTTTCGTCGTCAGAATCAGAAGCTGTACCAGCACACCCAACGGTGAAGCTGGAGTGATCCTTTTCAGTTGAAGTAGAAGGACCAATACCAATTTTGTATTTGCCTTCTCCTTTGGTCATATTTAAAGCACTCAGCAACCCATCATTGTTGACCCCTTTACTAGTTCCTTCACCAGAAGCAAAGAGTTCGACCTTTTGCCGTTGAACAATGGAATTAGAAAAAGTTTTTTCCGGGGAAGAAGAGGAGGAAGAGAGGATCATTATTTCATCGGTAAATGCGGGTGTGTTAGTGAGATGCTGATTGGTAACATTCACAAGAGAATGAGGATACATGACTTGTTCAGATATCACAGGATTGCTAGCACTGAAAACAAAAAAAAAATTAAACACATTAATCTCCAGAATATGAATACAGCCGCATTTTTGTCGGCGACTACAAAGGAAAACCTGATACTAAATTTTGTGATTAACTTTACTCACGGAAAAAAACTATGAATCCTACAACTCCACTTTTACTACCTAGAATAACTATTTGAATGCTGAAAGACTAGAAAGTCTAACTGAAATTGAGCCCCACTACATTCTCGCTACTGTTAAAAGTGCTACAAGAAAGAAGCGGAGCCACATTTGGACAGGTAACACTCTCCAAGTGGAATTAAAAACACCCCAAAGGAACTACCCACTCGCAATTAAGACGGGTGAAGTGGTTAAGTGAAGGACTCAGCATTCATCTTGTAGAGAGATAAAAGGGGTATAAATCCGCAAAACGTACGACTGGTTCTGCTTAGAGTCTGTGGCCGACTCAGAGCCGTCAGAATCCGAGGATATGGTGATGGATTCACCATCTTTAATTACATTGGGACGCGATTCCTGGGAACGGACGTGCCGAAGCGTTCCCAAAGAGGCGTTATTTCTTGAGTCGAAAGAACTACAAAAAAGGACCGCCATACTTTTTTTTATGATTGAGAATAATATCAATGTTGACCTACTCACGATGAGTATGTTTACTACGAAAAGTTATGAATGTAATCAAATCAGCACCTTGTAATTAAATCCAGTGGATTAGTCAGAGGTCATTTCAAACCATTTTGAGCATTGCCGGGCAATAGACCAGTTACAACCTATCCTACCCGCACAAACTCAGGCGAGGCATTTTCGAACCAATCTTAGCAGATTTGCAATGAGGTTTGGGGTGAGACACTTTGTTCGAGACTAAGTCAAATGCAGCTTTTAGCGGTGTTTCAAAACCTTTGCTTTCACGTAAGGTGAAGTCTTTTTACGGAGATGCCAATTAAGTTACTTTAAGTATCCATCTCCAGAAAAATATACTACTGATATGGTTTAAGTTCCACAATGCCCGCAATATATGCATCACTTTGAAGGGTCAATCCCAACTCAAAATGTAAAAAAACGCAGCGCACAACAACTTACGGTTTCCTTCTTTTTAAAGAATCCAGGTTCTCAATGCCTTCTGGCGTACTTCCACCGTCATTCAAAGGAGGGTTACAGCTACCACCAGATCGCTTTAATCGAGAAGGCATTCGCGGAACCAAAGTAGTGACAAATCCCTTCAAAGTATGACTTGAATTTCTAATGCTACAAATCAGAACTTGAGACTTGAAGAAAGGGAAAAAACTTACTCGAAAATTACAAGATCGAGCAATAGAACAGCATGCTAATGCAGAGATCGAGGGAAACGAATCACACCTGGCTGTAAGAAAATCGCTTATTCATAACAGCGAAGTAGGCTTACGGCAACGATAAGACTCATTTCATATATCTTTTTATTCTGACTGGCAGAAATATACAGTACCGTCCAGTGGAAAATTACAGGGATATGTATAGGTGATCAAGAAAGGGATAAGGTTTCTTTGTACATTCAAAAATTGGCGCAAAATGCAAATTCTCAGAAGCTACAACCGAGACGTGAGGAAAATCGCCACCAATTGATATAAATAAGTGAGCGATATTCTCCACAATTCGTTCCCGGGAGACGCCATCTATCCAAAATACTTACTAGTTACAAGATTTGCAAATAGATAGTTAAGACATAAAGCATGTACTACTAAACACCAAAACAAAGTGTTACGACTGGAAAACGACGAGCAGCTAAAAGACTTGCAATCATATACACTCCATCGCCTTGTAAATAAATAATAAAAATATAAATTCGAAGCGCAAATGCGCAAAGTGTAAAACACCGAATTTAGGATGATAATGACGAAACAATTGGCACCTATATTAGTTAGAAATGATGACTCACAGGTCAAAATCCAACTAATTACTAGATCACACTACAAGCTTCCACAAAGCATTCTGTTAGGCACGGAAGTATCAGAGTGTTTGGAGCTTGTAGGCTTTTGAATCTCAATGCTTGCTCTGCCCAAGCCCACAGTCGGTGATGGAGGAGAATGAGACCCAATGCCATCTGTTTCCGAATTCCACTTCACCCCCGTCATCTCGTGTGACACCGAAGGCAATAGAGTGGGAGAAGTAACCCTGAATCGAACTGCAGAGTTGGCCAGGGTTTTCCGCCGTTTTTTTGAAGGAGAAGTGCTGGAGGCTGAATTGGCACCACTTCCGCGCCTTCGCCTAGTAGCGCTAGCAGATGCAGGAGTAGCCAACTTCGTTTCCGGCAGATGATGTCCATTGGTCGGCCGCACGGTGGGCTCCAGATCGTCGGTTAGATCAATGGTATCAGTCAATTCTGCTACCTGTGAAGAGCATGTCGAAGCCTTCGTCCTCAGATCTGCATTGACCTGCGAAACTACATTAGCGATCCGACCAAGTAGATGAAACCGGTAGATGTTCTGAAAAGAGCGCACAATCTCCTGCACTTCCTCGGGAGTTCTCGCCCGCGATAAAGTCGCCTCTACATTTCTGATGTCACTGCTGAATGTTTCGACGCAGAAACGGAGAGATTGGATCACAGGACGTATGATGGAAGGATGAATGCTTGATATCTGGTTGAGAATTTCCGCAACGCTCGTATTTTTTAAGTACCATTCACAGGTATTAGAGATGTCAGACGGATACGAATTCGAAGCCTTGACAGCAATAGATGCCTTAGACAATGTTATCGCTTCATACACAAGTTACCTTAGAAGAGTCCTGACTTGGTTTTCCAGCGACGTGACCTATAACTCTTCCTAAACACAAACAAACATCAACTAAACTGTTTAAAAGTACCACCGGAACAATAGAGTAAAGTACTGGCCACCTATTGAAAATCAGTGACACGAAAATGAGGAAACCAGACACTTCAGTGGAAAGTACGTGGCTGTAAGAAATTGGAACGGAAACCAGTACCAATTAACTTAGATTAAACCCACCGGATGTCCTTGGCGTAATTGGCATAGGAAGTTTGCTACGCTTGAGCTCAGCTCGCTTCTTTGCCTGTTCCTTAAGCGACTTAATACGCTCGAAAACCTTTAAAAGCATAACTAGATTGCAATGGAGAACACACCTCCAGACACTCCTGCTGTAACGGCACCAAGACGGATGGGTTGCATATAAGGCAATTCCAAGAATCATCATCATTCAGATCTTCAATGTTCTGTAAGAATGATCTGCCAAGATTTCGTTTTATACAGCTTTTACAGAAGGTATTGGAACATGAGTCACAACATATAAGGTCCCCACCATCTCCACACCACCTACAATTTTCATCTTTGCCATCCACGTCCCTAGCAAATTCGCCCCTCCCATAGAATTTTAAACATCGCTAAAACTTGCGTTGTGACTATTAATAGATTTACCTTGCAGACAATAACGCTCAGATGAGGATGCATTGCACAGGCAAACGGACTAATGCGAACAGCACAACTAGTGCATCTAACGGTATCCACACCACCGACTTGAAAAGTACAAGGGAGCGATTTTCTTGGTAAAACACCATCTTGAAGGTCAAATTGGAAGGAGCAACCTTGTGTTTCCTCGACACCAGCTGGTTGGACAACGGGAGTTCCATCAGATAGAACGATGTTGCCGGTAGCATCAGTAGAGAAAATCGGTTGATCATTGACTGCATCCGAATCTCGGTTAGATTTTACATGTTCAGATTCTGCCTCATTAAAAGCGCTAGAGTCAGCAACTGCATTGGGTTCGGCAGAGAAGGCAGAACTAGCTAAATCGGGATTCACGATAAGCTTAGTCGCAACGGATTTCCTAATGGATGACAACAACGTAAGTCCCACCTTACTTTCTCATTGCCTGATAACAAGCACGAAGGAATTACTCGCAAGGTATACCCACAAAAGAGAGCAAATCAAAGTTGGAAGTCGAAACAACGCACCGCATTCAAACTGTAGGAAACAATGACTGCGGTCTAAAGGGCAGTTAATTAAAAGAAAATGTTTGGTAGCTTTTTTGCCCTTAAGAAAATTTGATTATCACACATACCTGCACCAAATAAGTGTCAGTATTCATTTTTTATTATCAATAAGCAACATTACTTTTCTAGTGCATCTCGAGCAAAGTGCAGCCATCTTGAGTTTCGGTATCTTGTATTGTGGATGCTAATCCACACTATAAGTCCTCTTCATTAAAAATTAGTTGAGCGACCCTTCTCTGGCAGTATGTTTTTAGGCATGCTACACAACAACATTGTAGGAAATACCTGTCTACCCCTTGGTCCGTGATCCTCAGACTTCAAGAGGAAGTTTGTTGCAGACGATTTATTAGGCATGACTATTAGGAAGGATGGGGAATGGGATACAGATGAGGCGACTGGGAGACATCAATCGGAGGGAGGCTCCTCGCCGCCTTCACGCACGTGATTCACGTTGCTAATTGGTTCCCGCCTCCCACCTATAAAAGCACACTTAAACAAACTAGTGTATATTACAAGCATAGTATGCATTAAGGTGGACTAAGTACGTGCTCTCTAGTAGGAGGAAATGGATTGAACAGGGGCGAGATGGCAACCAAGGTAACCGCCAGACAAAGTTAGTCACATAAACAAGATATCTTAAAATTTTGTCGTTCGGCCTTACCAACAAGTTTTTATGTAGCGTTCTAATACTCCTCACCGGGGATAAGAGACAGTACGTGGAGTTCAATACATGTATTCTGAGAAGAACAAAGTAATTAGGTCCGAGGATGTCACAATGGCCATCCCACACGTACAAGAGCCAGACAAATCTTAAGGAAACCACCAGATATTATGCGGTTACATCATCAAAGTATTACAGTTTATACCTCAACTTCCCTAAAGTTCCCACTTTGACTCCGAATTTCTTACTATCAATACAATGACAGTGGATCAGAGGCATAGCGCCATGTTACGTTTGCATGTCCCAAAATTTCCTTACAGGGACCTGGTCCACCTGATGGAGGCAAAATTGTTACCTGAGCGCTCGTGACCGAAACCAACTGCAAAAAAATAGCTTAATTGTAGCTCAAACCTGTTCATCGCTTCTACGGAAAGCAATTTGTTTACACGAGTTTTATTTGACATAATAGACAACAGAATCACCGCTGTAGAAGTATGGGAACGATCATGTCTCGTGTGGAGTCAAGACGCCTCAATTGCCCATTATAGTACGACGCTTACATTTATATTCCCACTTTGATCAACAAGGTCGATTGAAACAACAAGTGAGATGGACTCTGCATTGCATTACATTGCAATTTAAATTTTGCTTGATTGCTGTAAATGTAGAATAGTAGTACTGACATATTACCACCTTTCGCTAGGCAGAAAGCGACGAAGGTGATTGCTCTGAAGATTTGAGAGCATAAAGACTGAAATTTTTTGGAACTAAGCTTGAATTCCTCTACCTTCGGGTGTTATGCAGTTTTCATCTATCCATCCCCCCGTTGCTTCAATACTAATCTAACCTTTAGGAACCCACTTCCAAAAGTGAAGGGGAATCAGGTGAAGTGTACTTTGCTTTTATATGGAAGGTAAGCAGAGAATGGTGGTAAAATGAACTCGGAGAAATTCAAAGAGATGTAGGTTTGCTGAATGTATGTGTGATGGAGCGAATGCAAGATTTAATGGAAAGACAGAATGAAGTCTATGGGAGGTGCAGATGACCAGATGGCGAAGGAAATATCTTAGACGTGAGATGCATGTGGACGGATTAGAGATTAGGAAAAAGATGGATGAAGACATAGGAAACGCTGATGATAACCGTTAATTAGGTAACACTTTTAAGGAACGTGGAGGGGGTATTACCGTTGTATGGGAGTGTGAGCACGGGGTAGAAAGAGAGGATCGAGACAAAGGTACCCCACTAGCCTTGTTAAGCCATCTGAGTGGGCGAGGAATGAGAAAATTGCAACAAGCAGCGCATTTATAAGTTAATGGGAAGATATGCTTGGTATTATCAAGTATGCTTGGTCGAGAGTTGAGAGTTAGAAGGGGTTACATTTGCCAGTGTGAGTTAAGGCTAAGAATTCGAAAGCTGAGACTTTTCCTCCATTTGCAAGTTGTGACTTTTTATCAGGCTATCTAAGCTGTGCGGATGCGTACACACTTGTCTCTAAAACTCTGATAAATTTACTGGAGCTGATTCGAGTTGAAGATGGTTTTGTGATCATATGCAGGCGGGTCTCCTACCACATCAGTAGGAACTAGCAATTAAGTCGAGAGTGAACATCTGCAAGCATGCTTCATCGGCTGCCAGTTAGGACAATTTTGGCTGACTGGAAATTGACCTACCTACTGCTCCCATTGCACACCTTTGGCTTTGTCGCCTGTTTCACCGTGCTCATCTGATATGTCTTTGCTAGCATTAACACCTTCCTGTATCATAGTCGATTTTCTTGTCTGTGATTAAATGCAAAGCTCCACTCTGTCGTACTTTGTCAATTTCATTGCACATTTGCACCCATTTCGTGCTAGGATAACGCACGCACCTTCCTACGGCGGTGGGTGAGTAGGTGGTCAACAGATTGTTGTGCAAGAATATCCTTCCAATAAATGGTAAAGCAAAGATTGGATGGAACTGTCATTTATTGAACTTATCAGTTTCCCACAGTAAAATATTTAACGTCCGTGCCTCGAAATTGTCTGCCTAGAGGGACTTTATATTTTTGTGTCTAATAGCCTGCTCTAGCGTCAGCTTTTCTTAAGTTTACTTTTACAAAGCGACTAGAGGCTCCATTTGTGATTCCCTTTGCTGGAATACCTTTCTGCTGCAAGGCATTAAAAGTACCGTTACTTACTATGTGAAATACCTATTCTCATATCTCTGTTTTCGGTACCATGCAATCTTAAAACAACGGGAAACATCCTTCTAATGTCTACCATTCCAAGTCCATTTTAGTAGAGGAAGGAATACGTAGACCTTTATTCGTTGATGATTTGATGCACGGTCCTATTAAGATCCGCTTTGCAAAACGCACTCATTCAATACTGTAACCCTTCTTACGTGAACCAGTTCGTAAGTGGGACTCCGAGCAACTGGTGATGCATGCAATCTATTCCTCATCCTACAAAAGGTGCAAGACTTATATACTTCCACCAACAAATTGGGGATCTCACGCACACGTACCCTCGTGGCGTTGGTAAAATCCTGCATATACAGGTTCCGCATAGGACAAATTTCGTTCAGCTTTTAAATTGATAAACAAAGCTGTAACATGGATGATGGATGAGTGCTACGCATGAACTCTCAAATGGATGATTTTATATTATAGCCTCTATTCACTGGATGAAGTATTCTAGAGTGAGCATGTGCGACCAATTTCTTGAAGTGACGGTTATGCTGGTCCAAAGACAATTAATTCATCCTCAACCCTTTGATGTGATTCAATTCCAACAACCATGCAGAAGTTCTAAACTTACGCTGTTGCCTTATTGAATGATATTCTCCAAACACAGTACCTGAAGTGTCGTAGAGACTCGCAAAAGATGATATGTTCAAACCGGTGGTTCGGTCTTTGTGCCCTTTGATAGAAGGCTAAGGTTCTAATAAAGCAGCCAACATGCAAAGCATGGCAAACCACTAAACACAAAATCGGCTGAAGTTAACACGCATCCTGGCAATGGCAACGTATCACGTCTTGGTGGTAAAATTAAGCCTGATCTGCTCCCCACCTTTCAACCTGAAATCCGATACAAACAACAAAGTGAAAACAACGTTTGACAAATTGCAACGATAGATTTTCTCTATTTACAAAGCATCATACAGTTCGAAAAAGCAAATCAAAAAGTTTCAGAGTTTATATAAAAATTTCGCATGTCAGGTGGAATTGGTTGATCCGAAGCATATGTAAGATTGGAAATGAAAGTTATTCTAATATTCATCCAGACCCGTTGTCGTGATTTACTTAGAATTGGTGACGTAGTTGCTGCGAAGAAGCGTAGGCGTCGTACACACTGACATAGACGATGGAGTGGTCAAACTTCTCAAGCAAACCTGAGCGTATCAAGGATTTGTGAACTGCTCCTATCAAAGAACGTAACATATATGATGTCACTACATTGGAGCGCAGTTTAGGAACGTAATTCCTCAACACAAACAATAACTCCAACGATCCGAAGAAATGGAGGTGCACACACTACCTTTCCTCCACCTATCAGTGTGATTCATTTATTGAGACGTGATGAAGAATAAAACGATTGGAGCGCTGCAATCGACGTCTTCCAACCTGATATGAGAAAGTGGAGTACACGAATTTTAACATTATTGAGTGGATGAAAGACCATGCATCCTGGTTTCTACGAGGTACTCCAAGAGGGGTTAGAATTGTAAGACATTCGGTTCTTCAATCGACTGCGAGACATCTATCATAAGTTAGTCAAGCCAAGTTGGAAATAACAACTGAAAAGTCTTAGTGAGAGGAGAAAGGAAGCTTAAATGTTTGAAGGATTGAGAACCGAAAGAGGTGCTTACTTGAGGGCGACGCAAGGTAAACTTCGATTCCGACCTCATTGTAATCAGCAATAAGCTGAAAACAAAATGCGAGTATGACAACTGTACTTTTTTGCTATTATAAATTGACACGGGATTCCATGCATTTGTTTTCAAATTGCTTCATGCATATGCCCTCTATCTACCACTTTGGAGCAATAAGTTTTACTGCTTCATACAGGTTGCACCCGCGCTCACCCATTGAAATGTCAAACAGAGGGTGCAATAGCCGACCAAATAACTAGGTCTCATTTTACAACTTTGCAGGCTTATTTCAATTTGGTTGAAAAATTTACATCAAAATAGGTAGATAAGTGCCTGTGTTTCCGCTTAATCTAATAAGAAAGTCAGCGATATTAAGTGAAGAAGAGAGTAGGACCAACTTGATAGTGTTGCGCTTTTCGCAGTCAGGAAAAAGGGTACTATTTAATACGCTGCTGTCGAGATCAAGGCCAGAAAGACAAACAACTTACTGCTTCCAGAGTTGTAGCACCGACTATATCAACATAAGTCCAGGCAGAGCAATCAAGAATGACATGAGTGAGAGGAACACTGGAGAGGAGATTAGAGAGCTGGTTGAGCGCCTCCTGCTTCTTATTCATAGCTTCCAAACGCGACATGGAATGCTTGCAATTCCTACAGGCGCACGAACACCCGCGTCGACTACCTCTGCCTATTGGTGCTTTCGTTCCTTCGGAGGTATACTTTCCGCCCTCCAGGTGCGCTTTAAAGTAATGCAAGAAAAGGAGATACCGCCCTTTATCAATTTATGCAGCACTCCTGGAAAAGTACATTCAACAAGTTGAAACACTTACATTTCATTAACAACCTGCATTTCTTACTGAAATAATGAGATACTGTCTAAAATAATATCAAGAACTCTGTTTCCAATAGCGGCATTAAAACAAAGAAGGCTATTGATGAAATCGACCTCTTAAAACTGGAGTAGTCGCGAAACCAATATCGTCACACGGCAGTCTCAATTATAGGAACTGGAATGTCTGACATAGCCTAAAGAATGGCCTCAGCAATTTGCTTAGTTTGTCGCAAATTTAGTGTTAACTGTTCGATTATTCCAAAGTCACTTCAACACGTTTTGCAACAGTCTTGTCATATCGAGCTGCCAATTTGTAGAAAGAAGTATGAATTTAAGCATCCGAATTAGCTTTGTGAATTGAAAGTTTATGAAATCGAGAATGTAAAGCACGCTTTTCATGCACATCTCATGTCACTGGGCTGCGATGTGGTTCAGCCCAACAATCTGCATGAGCAAACAGCACAACCAATGAGGTCATGCAACGATGAGGTCATGCCTTCGCTATGAGTAAAAAACAGTTAACTGTGTGAGTGTTATCATGTGTTTGGGAAAACGTTATTGGAAGCCACAAAAACAAGTCGAAAAAGTCAACTCGCAAAACTATAACTCCAAATGCAAAACGCCCAAGTTCCTAAATAAGAAGCCACCTTCCAGTGGCAGCGATGAAGACCGGGTATCCTCTTGGTCAAGTAAATTGGAATTGTACTCGGAGGCCTTCGATGCCAATACTGCATCGGCCTCCTTCACTACACCATCGAGCCTCTTTTTGCGGAAGGCGATGGAACGAGGGTCGAAGCCGGCGGCGTCGATGACAGATGAGGCGAAAAGCTCTGCCCCTGCGTAGAAGAGACCACCTTCGTATCGAATTACCTTTACCTTCGGGTCTTCGTCACACTATTTACATAGAATTAGTTGGGTAAAGTGCGCAAAGGACTATCTAGTATTGCAAAACTAAGTGGACTTACGGCGGTGTATATGTCATTGGGCTTGAAGAACTCGGTGCTATCAAACCTGCCAATAGCAAAGGCCTTCGAAAATTGCGAGCGAACGAAGACAACGATGGCGGAAAAGGCGACACCGATGATTAGGCCGTAAAGTACATCCAAGAACACCGTAGCCGTAAATGTCACTACCCAGGAAGCCTACCCGCAAAAGAGGTGATTAAAATGATCATGGGAGCCGGATGTATTGATGCGAGCCAAAAGGGATAAAGATTGCTAATCAGGATTGTCCTATAGGCCGGCATAAACATGCTCAGTTCAAGTTTCATAACAGACTTTGGTGCATAGCCTTTTAGACTCCCACTGGTTTTCCCGAATAATATGTTTTTGCAAAGGATGACGACATGGAATTTCGCTGAATGGAATGAAAGTTTGTCTTGCAAAATTTTTTGACGATAAAAGCGCCCATTTATGAGTTAAATAGGTTTTCGATTTTACGAGGACATGAAATGTCGAAATGTAGCATCAAAAGCTCATAACTTAGTTAAAACTACTTAGAACGGTCCTGAGCTTCCTTAAATGCAACTAATAGACCAGATCACGATTCCGTACACTATCTCCAAGGTTCGCGAAAAGCTTGAGAAGCATTGGCATTAATTTCATATATGGAACAACACATGTTACCATGCCTCGCTTAATCTGCAGTCATTTTTCGGCAAATTGGAACACGACGAGAACACAAACTGTTGAGAGATATTAATGAATAGCATACTAAGTTAGAGAATGGGGTATAATAACACAAGCTTGAGTTGACCTACAAAGTCCCAAATGGAATAGCGCCACAGAATTGGGAGCTCCAGCAATTGAGCGACCATACCTCGCAGAGCCACAAGGATGATAGCGGAGAGACAACACTATTTCAAAGCGAAATAAAAGGTTTCTAGTACTTTATTATCGATATTCATTGGAGGGAGAAAGGGTTGAGATGATAAGGCATGTCATTGGTGAAGGTAGAGGAGGTTGAGAGCGCCGGATGCCAAACTCACGTTTGGGACATCGTAGAAGAGAGGTCCGGCAAAGAAGACCACCAAAAGGACGATAATCGAAGCAACAAGTCCTACAATTTGGCTCTTTCCACCCATTGTAACAACCAGCGCAGTCCTCGAGATCGACGCCCCCACCGGGTAGGTCGTAAAGAAGGAACTCGATACGTTAGTGATTCCGTAGGCTACCAACTCCTGAGTAACGTGTTGAATGATGGTTGAATGTATATACATTACGCGGTTACCAACCCATTCAATCATGCCGTATAGTCATAAAGGCCGTGCGAGTATATCGAAGGTGAGTGAAATATCACGTCTTTACACAAATATTCAAATGAGGTGGATTCCTACCAATGTCGCGTGCCAACGAAGCTTAGATTTTTAATGAGCCACTTCTCGCCAAATAGCTTGGTCTGCGATCGAAAAATAATAAGGTTGGAATTTGAGTGTTGCACCAGCACTAATAGCAAGTCTTCAGGAAGTCACTTTGGATGCGTACTTTTATGCATCAATAATCACTGGGGATGATGAGAATGCTATCATATTGAGAGCTGTGCTGATACAGTGATAAATGATATCGCGTCGATGGCATTGCAACAATAATTCCATCATTCATCTTTCATTTCTAAATCAATCTCAAGGAGAGCCTCAAACACTACCGCAACTGATGTATTTATTAGCAAATTAGACGCTCAACTAAAGTTACCTTGTGTGTCACAATTCACGAACAATTAAAATCAGTTCTGACTGTCATAAATTTACCGGAGCTGAACAGGTAGAAAAGGTTACAATAAATATTGAATTCGTGTTACTCATCTTCCATTCCTAACTTTAAAGAAGCAATCTATTTCGTTTAAGACTTCAAATATTAAATGTCATAGTTTGCATTTGAACCGCATTCCTGAAGAACCAGTAAATAGAAGCACAAGGTAAAAATGAAATTGAAACAAACATACCTGATTGGGATCCACACTGTAGCCTTCTTTATAGGCATAGAAGGAGGCCAGAGAGTATGAGAGGGAAAAGCCAATAAGAGCTATTACAAAGGCGTCACCGATAACTCCACCAGCTATTGAAAGGCGCGGCACAGTGGGCTCGGGAAACCTGCGAAAATTCAGAACCTGACCCCAACCACTTATGTTGTATTTCTTCCCGTTAATCGCCCAGTGTATAAGCGCAGGTGAATCCAATGTAGTAGCAATGGAAAATGGAACACTTATTAATGATTGCATAGAACTACGGTGCACAATGACGCAGGCAAAGGAAAGTAGCTCAATACTTTTTAGTAGACTACTGTAAAATTAGCATTCAATCAATGGATCATCAAATTGGCATGAGTGATGCTTATACACATGATAGAACTGTCCACTTACCCGGTTGGTACGACGCCCACAACACGAACACCGTATATATTTCGCAATTGGAGATATTGTGAAATTAGCCCACTAGTGATAATCTAAAGTGAAACAGAGTGCTGAAACTTTTAAAAAGACACAATAGATAAGAATAATACAGTTAACAGGTATAAGTAAATTCACTCAGACTCTTTTGAGGAGAAAAACCCCCTATGACCAGGACGCAAACCTCCAAGTGGGAGTTTGCTTGCTACCACTAAGCGACAAGGCATCGTAACAGCTCAATTGGGCATTTGAGCGTAAGCAAGACGTTCACAAAAAACTTGTAATCGTAAAAAAAACTTTCAGTGTCTACACAAACCTTTGTTACCTCGAAGGTGTGATACTTGATAGGTTTAATTGATGGCAGTTTTTTTAGTTTTAAATGCTCGGATATAGCTGACAGCAAGAATGACAAACCTTCACCGATCTCAATGCAAATCAGCCTAATTAATGCAAAATAGCACTAGCGTTTTGTGCAAATGAGAGGTCTCACTTTTGAGCACGCGCACAAATTCACTGATAAAGGCATGCACACTGGCATCACCAATTTACAACAAATTTTAGCAAACAAAACTTGTAGCCATAGCATGCATGAAAAGAAATCTTTGAACATACGACCAGAAGCTCGACGGGTACTGGAACTTTGATACGCCTTCGCAATGGTGGGTTTATGAAGAGTTGGAATACGTACAGCACAGCCATGCATGAGACCGAAAGACCAAGGGTGACCCAATTTGCATTGGGCAAATTAGCACAAATACTGTAAAAGTTCTAAAAAACAAAGTAAATGGAATAAAACTCAAAGATGGACAAATTTGGTGGAAAGAGAAAGTTAAACCACGAATATCACCATCTGCTGGAAAATAGTTAAGTACTGTTGTAAAAACAGAACCACAAAGTTAAACCACAAGGCATATGAACTCAAAATTGTGTTCTTTGGTAAGTATATAAATGCTCTAATCCTCAGAACTAGTACAATGTCGTTTGAAAGCCCAAGCATTTAAAGGTCTCGAATTTAAACTTGGTACTGGACGATAATTGAAAGAGTTTAAAATTGACTGCTTTATGTGTGTTTAGCGACGTACCAAAGGAGCATTAAAAATCCCAGTGTGCTTTTTGAGTTGAAGACCAAATACCACGAAAAGTTGAGATATCCCCACATACACTGAGGAGCCAACAGTAAAGCCAGCGAGCATCGGACGCGACAACAGGCGAGTCAGAAAGCCAAGGCGCAAAAATCCCATGATGAGCTAGAATCAACATTTCATTCAACATAATCATAAGAAGTTTACTGAAAAATTGCCACTACCAACCGGAACATCCATAAATGGCACTACAGGGGTTTGACAACCTGTTAAATTTCCATTATGTTCTGCATGAGCACGAACAAAACTAGAGGTGAGCCATTCAGAGAACAGTGCAGCACATGATCACCAATTGTTACTGTGCTATTTAAATAGGGCTTCAGTGCGATCCAAACCAACGAATTTCTGACAAAGTTGGATTTTATCCCAAAATGCTGGTGCTATGTCTCAACAGTAGTCAATGAAAAGCGCTCAGAAAGAAGGAATCTGCTGTTAATACGTGAGGGAATATGAACTAATAAACGGCTCAAGATTAGGATAACTTGCGTATGTACAAATCCGAAATACAAACAATTTTAAATTTGAGGCTGATTAACAAATCGTGAGCTTCCCTTCTATCGAGAATGCAATATTTCATGCACAGTGATAAGCTAACAGAAGATGAAGGACAAGGACAAGGTTTTCACCACTCATTGCAATCAAAACATTATTTTAGATTGTAGATGGGTTGCGAAATAATGACATCATTTACGCTCAAGAAGTTTGCGCACAATTTCTTTGCTGTACCTGATTTTAAATGAAGATAGTAATAACAATATTTGACAATCATATAAAAGGATGACAGCAAGGTTCTAACCTGCATAATTCCCACTGTCATAGCCAATGAAGAAGCCAAAAACACACGATCGGCAATATTATCTGAATCATTCATGGACGAAGAAGATTCAATTGACAAATTTGCTACAAAAAAATGTACCAGAAATTATCTCATGCAACAAAATAATCAACTAATCTTTGGCTGTTGGGGGGGAGGAGAGATGGTAACACCAAAACTCAGTAGCTAGAAGCTGGGCGACAAATTTGACAGAATAAGAAAAATCAAAATAGCAGAAGAATGATAAATTTAAAATAAGTCATAAAACTGCCTCCACTGTTTTTTCCGCTTCTATTAGTAACAAAACTGTATCTTACAAAAAAGTAAGGACTGAGTTACGTTGCGATCAAGGCAGCCGCCCACGAGAAGACTGAGAATCGCAAGAGTACCTAAACATATAAATTTGACGTTGCACAAAGACTTCGTTAAAATCAAAGTTGAAAATCACGTACCCAAAGAGAGGTGCCTTGAGGAGCCCAGAAAAAAGTAGAAAAATGATGCACACATTGAAGAATAGAGCCCGTACACAGGCGGCAATGTAGCCAGCATTGCATAAGCCATTCCTGCAAGGCGACGATAGGTTGCAAAATAATTTTCACAAAAAAATAACAACGACCAAAAATGGTTAAACAAACTAGAACTTTACAGAGAACTAGGCAGATTCTCTTGTGATACTGAATTCCGCTTAAGTTTGGTGGAAGTAACCAAAATGTTAATATGCTAAAACCGCTTGACACACGAAAGGGCGCGTAGTTTTCGTCTAAATATGCATCAAATCGAACCTTGACAAAACCAGCCATTGATATTTTGCATATGAATGATCCAACAAAATATCTTTCATGAAAAATTTTTAAAATATTGACATTCAAGAAGCTAGTTTTTTTGAGCAACGAATCCCACAGAGATAGAACTAAGAAACGTTCCGAAAATGCGCAACCTTGAGGTACATGCATGACTCCAATGGTAAACCCAGTAATGAGGTCGTTCGCCAACCAGTTCTTCCCATCATAATTACGCAAAATCTCAAGAAAAGGAAAAAATCTGTAGAAAAATTTCAGCAGTAGTTTGCAAAAGCCCTGGTCCGCAGTTGCTCCGCAGTACGAAATGCAAGCTCCCCGATAAGCTTTGCGCAAAACGGAGACAGTTTTCTGACCAAATGTGGTATACTTTTCCTTGTCATATCTTAAGTACAACTTGTCAAATTCGGCCTGAGAGTAGAGGGTCCGAGAACAACTTTGGGCACAATTGTTTTCCGCCGAATCGGATTTTGAAGTCATCGAAATACATACCTTGGAACAATAAAAAAGCAACAAGGTAACAAGTTTGTAAATTCTTACGAAAGAATGAACAAGGTGCCTCACACCTATGGAAATTCGTACCAATTAGGCATTAAAAATTGCAAACGTGCTAAAATTGTAGAAACCAAATTGTTGCTGAAAGACAATTACTTAAAGTCAGCAACTTCTATAGACTTATACAGTATTGCTAAACGCAAGGGTAGGAATATTGGCAAACAGAGGTCCATACTCACAAGATCACCGAAGGGGAAGCACACACGAGACAAATACGACTCGACAGAAACCAAATGAAGCAGATCCCAAGGTTGACCAAGGGACCGAAGCCTAATTAACTATAATAAACAAAAATACCAACATTACCATTCACATAAAATGCAATACCGGTAATCACAAACTTGTGCAGTATGTCAGTGCTATTTTCCAAATAATGCAGGGTGGTCCTGGACCATAATTTAAGCGTTTGAGGAATTCCCATTGGAAAATAAACAGTTTAAGGTAAGGAAAAGGCTATTGCTTCCATGAGTTCTATAAGTTTGAGCCCAACCTCTTTCCGGTCGTCCCTAATATACGCACTGAATCTTACTTAATAAATTCCGCTATCCAATGGGAAGCCCAGTACGTCCCAACAAATAGTTGTAGATGCAGAGAAGTGGAAGAGTATTGGCTTTGTCTTCATTTAGTGGTCAGACCGCGTAGCAAAGGACCAGTTAAATAAACAAGGTATTACATGTGCCTACTTATCCCTTGGTGCCTTCTGGACAAATTATTTACAGTCCAATGAGAAATCCCTTTTCCACTGCCAATCATCATGCTTGCCATCAACGAAAATAATAGATGACCCAATTGCGCTGATATTTTCATTTATCCACAACCCTCTAAATAATAATATTCAAACAGTTAAAAAGACAATGCCCGATGGTAGCGTTGGCTTCGCTGTTAATCCCCCTGCCCTTGTTTAAGTATCTGAGCCAATCGGATCAGCTTGAAGAGGACAATTTCCATACGATGAACTCTGCTAGGTTATACAAAGGAGCATAGTTTGGGTGCCAGCGGCCACTTGCTCCTTAACGAATCTATAGCACCCACCCACCCATTCACAGGACTGTTGCAATTTGAATGTTTTATGCTTAAAAGTACGTTTTGAAATTGTTCATCTCATCTTAAAACCTCACGAAGTGGACACACAAACCCAGTCCTTGACTCCCCCACCCTGTTTTTTTTTTAAAAAGAAGCTAGAAATAGGTGAAGTGATCGTAAAACTGTTGAATTATCAAACGTGCGACATTTGCATTATAGGTGAACAAACATTTTCCATAAGGTTAATTGGTTTTGTATCAATTATCAAGGCTCATGAGCAACGCGGTTCCACGTTTAATCCAGTGTTCAGAAGGGAAGTCGCCTGTTTTCAACTCGATGCCAATCATAAAAGATGGCTTCCCAGGCGGGCCTGCTCGGTTCTGGTAGTAATAACAAGGGCATATGTAGGTGGCTAAAATGCAAACAAAGTGAAGCAGTAAATTCAAGAGTTAAGCGTCTTAATCGCCAGAAAAAGGTCAAAAACTTGCATTTGGTGGCCTTCTTCTTATTTTCCACAGCTTTGAAATGAATGACAGGCATGGTACAAACAAGCATCATGGGGGCTGCCTCCATGAGGCACTGGTTCTTCATGTCCCAACCAGCGCCTTCTAAGAAAAGACCGCTGACGTAGACGCCCTCTTTTGGACTTGAAGGGATATTTTGCTCGGAAATCGTAAGAACATTGAAGTCCCAGCTAAGTGTGTCGACGCCGACACCATGCGTCCGAGCAGCTGTTTGCATGACTGCGGTCAAGAAACCAGTGGGGAAGGTGAACGCACCTATCCAAAACGCTTTCGGTGCTCTAGCTGTCTGCGACCACTGCCAAAACACTTTGATTCTCTCGGCAAGATCCCGCACCCAAGAACTCAGAGGACGCAGGGAATTATAGGCCTAATAACAATGCTACCAAGGTGAGGGCGTGCGAAGTAAGCAATTCGATTAAGTACAGCAGAACTTTGGTAATCAGGAAACCAAGCGGTTTTTATTCGCTTCGACATTACAATTTGATGGAATGTGCAAAATAGAAATAACCATGAAAGGAAGGCTCAAATCAACGGATGATCAGGTGCCGTCAAGCAGTATCATTCAATTAGTATTTGAGTCAATATTCCAAATAATTTAGTACCATACACGAAGAGGCTTACATATTGCCACTGAAAAGGCACACGATTCTCAAAGATGGCCGCAAAGATGTCTTCTAATTCAGAAGACATGACTACAAGACCTTGAATACCTCTTTCGAGGTCAATGAGTTGGCTGCGAATTAAGTCTAGAAGGTCGTTGTATCTCTGAATTTCTTGGAGCAGCACAATCTTCAACGGAGATCGATCGTTGCTGAAAATTTTTGCCGTACCATGATAGTCTAAGTTATCTGGAACTTGTTCCTTCATTTTCTTAATAAGCTTTAGCACTTTCGATTCCTTTGATTCTTCACCAGCAGACGAGATCTGGAACAATGCAGTCAAGTAGTGACCGATTTATGCGATATATTTAATTGAAATTTACTTTCTTAGCATTTGGTGTTTGAATACTCCGAGGATCACTCGGCACTACGAGTAAATATTGACAGCGTGTCTACACCATCATCTGGAGACACTGCACTGGGCACAGATGCTTCAAATGGGCAGTCCCTCTCCTACGGGCTGTCTTCTGTGCGATACAGGTGGCACAGTTACTTGATTCCATATTTTATTTTTGCTTATTTTTAAACAGATCAAAGTGCCTTACTTTTATGCTTGCCTATTTTCAATAAAAAACGCGCCTGATTATTTTTTGCTTAAAATCTAGTGTAGGTCTTCGCTTAGTTCATTTTTTTAATGTAAAAGGTGGTTTAAACCAAATGGGACGTCTATTATCAATTTTTTTTTATCTCAAGAACTTATTTTGCATATGGGGAGCATGCTTTTACTCAGTCAATGAACTTACTTTGGGTTGCAATGAAAGCAGGGCATCAAATAATAGTTTGGCTTCTTGAATTTGAGAGGCGATATCAGCGTTCAAATGTTGACCGAATGCTTCTGGATGATCGATGTTTGGCAACATTGAAACAAACTCTCGATAAGCGCTAAGGCTGCCATCACGAGGAATGTAATATTGAGCCAGAGGAGATAATTTAAAGAACGCCTCACTGATAGCGTTCTCAGTGAAATATCCATTTACATATGTCAAGAGGAGGCGCCGATCCCAGTCGTCTGTTACGTGACCTCCATAATTTATTCCCGCAATCAAGTAACGTAGAGCTTCCCATGGAGTCTCCTGATACTGATCCAAATAAGTACTTAGAATGTTCTCCGACACTTCAAAGTCGGCGTCATTAAATTCGTAAGTTACATTCCAACCCAGCATACGGAACTTCCGACGCTCAATCAGAACGGAATGGAAGAAGCAAAGACAGAAAAGCAGCTTTTTGTACTTCTCCGGTTTAGTGCATGTGGAAAACTGGTCCTCCTGATAAAAAATGAGGTGCGATTACTTATGAAGCATTAGCTCAGCTAATTATAGGAATAATGCACTGTGAGTGCCACACTACGCAATTTTGAAGTACTTACCGCCAACAGCATGGCTATTAAGTATATAGTTTGTGCCAAATTTTTATAAAGAAAACAGGATGCAAAATGGGAAAATTGGGTAGCAAGAACTCACCTTGACAATCTGATAAAGCCGCTTCATGTTGGAGCGCAGGCCCTTTGGCGGTTCAGTTGTCATTTTGATGCCAGCCTGAAGAATGGAGATGGGGAAGTGAGGTGTGGGGCTGGAGGAAAGCCAAAGGCGAAATTCGCCGTGAGTCTGCTCTCCACCCATTTGTTCTACCAGTTTATCTAGCTGTGGCATCCACGAGAGCGAGAGGTGGCAGTTGGCCAAGAAGACCCAATTACCATTGCGCACGCCCTCCTCTATCAGCCGCGTGGCAATCGGGGCCTGACCTTGGCCCAATGAGAGTGCATTAAAACGCTTCCCCATGCCGCAGGCCTCCGCAATTTGCAGCAGTCCTCCAGTTGGATCCACCCCCGGTGAGAGCACAAATATCAAAGGACTTCTGGCCGAACTGTCTTCTACCACCTACATTTAAATGCTAAATTACTTACAAATTATGTTTAGCTAAGAGGTTGCAAATATGAAAGCTGGTAATACAAACCACGGTACGAATAGTGAAAACGAAGAACATAAAGTAACAACGTACGCTCCTCATATCAAGTACGGGTGGTTCGACAAATTGTTTGCCGATGTTATTGGTGATAAAGGCTGTGGCACAAAAGGTCACGCGGTCAGGCCTCAGTGAGCGCACGATGAGCATTCGCTGAAACTCGTTAGTTGAGCTCTCCCACTCTGCCGGTAGTTTCGAGTTTTCGGGCTCATCCGAAGTATACCAAATGTGCCAATCCCTGGGATACTGTTCAAACGAAGTGACAATGCCGCGGTAGTTTGCCAGTTTGTTTAGTTCGGTTACATTGTCCCATGAAAGACTAGAGAGCCAACTGGGAACTGGATTGTCCATTTGATGGGCTCTATCGAGGACAATGCCGCCACGTAGGAGGAACATATACTCCTCTAGATTGAGTTTGCCCATCTCCTCTAGGATTTTGACACAGATCTGGAAGGAGAACAGCAGCTTGTGTCTTTCGAATAGACCACGGCAGGTGTAACGATACACGGCGTAGGTATGGTGTTTGTTTAGATTCTCAATTCTTTCACTCAGTCGAGGGGAACGCTGGCTCTTCTCTATACTGAGCACAAAGAGGTCGATATAAGCATCCAGAGCAAATTGATACATTGGATCTATAGATCCGAGGTCATTGAGTACGAAGAATAGGATAGCGGCTCTTCGTGCGCACGGTCGGTAGCCATCACGAGCTGCATCAATTTGAACTTCTGTCCTCTCAGATATTGAGAGAAATTCAGTGACTTCCTAAAGACAAATTTTAACTCGAGAACTACACTTTTGATTTACTAGCTTAATTATCGCCCTGTACATTCAACTTCCTCTGTAATTACTTTAAATTCTTTCCCACAGAATCAATTTGCTGATAATTTTGTAGTCCGCATTCCTTCTACGCATTTTGTTTCCTTTTAATCGCCCTCAAGAGATTTAGGTTGCACAAAAAAATAGCGGATCTAGGTCCTAAATAACTTCTTTACTTTCAACGCTTGAGCTAGACATTTGACGAATCGGACATAAGCTGAGTTATTGAGCGCTAATCTTTTATTTGGCGTTCCACAAGGATATGTAATAAAGTGATTGCTGAACATTTCGTAGTAAACACGCAGATAAACGCCTGTCCCTCACAATAATTTGTTAATACCAACCCTCGACCACGCATATTCAAGCCAAAGTGACGTTGTAAAAAATACTCGATTAGGAAGTAAATTATACTAACCATTATTCACAGGTCAGTTGAAGCACTTCAAAGAGAACTTACCGCCGACGTCGCTTTGGAAGTCTGAAGTGTTAAGAAGAGGCCTTCGTCCTCAAGCAAAGAGCCTTGAGTCTCGTTCAGGAGACGCAAGAGTTCGTCCTCCAGCTCCTTCAGCTTCTTCTTACCGTTGGCGATGCCAATCACCAAACTGTCCTTCTGCTCCTCTAGCTCTGGCTTCTCCTTACGTACCACGATGCCTAGCAACTGCGCTTCCAAACCTTCTTGCATGACAGCAAAATTCACCACTGTGGTTTTCGTGCATATCTCGGGCGCGTAGCGCGGATTTGACAGTTTTGTTGTCAAATAGAATCTAGTAAATTGATAGAAATGGCCATCTACCAAGGATGGAATGCAAACATCAACCATAAACGAGCCTTTTATGATATTATTTTGAGCGGCAGTAATGAAGATGGTTTTTCTGCTTTTTTTCCTTTAGCAAAGAACTGTATGGAAAAAAATGGTACAAATTTTAAAGTTTGCTGTTCAAATGGCTGTTCATCCAAATAATTGCTAATCTGGATAGCAGTCAAGAAGCTTTAGGCTGGACAATCAAGGTAATGGCTACTAGTTATCTGCAGTTACGATGCACAAAGCATGCATATACACAGGCAGTCGCCATACCCAAGATGTCTCCTCTCCTCACGAACTATATGTCACAGCTTTCGCCCCATCTGTTTCGCGCTCAAAACTATGCATTAATGATGATGCCACAGGATACATTCATCGTTTAAAAGCGATCTCCAAAAAACTCTTGAGACTTCAAGGAAGGCCTAGAAGGGCGATTATTACTGTAAAACTGATTAATTAAACTATAATCCTTTGAATAAATATCAGGACCAATAGTCCAGACATAACAAAAATGCTGCTAAAAGCGTACTAACACACAATAAAAGCAACAATAATTACTCCTGAGAGGCATTAAATACCGCTAAAAATTCGAGCTCACCTAAAATTGGCATTGTACTCTACTTCTCTGTCACCCAGTCGTATGACTTCAGCCCCTCCAACTTTCATTATCGACTTGTTGAGAACAGGATCCAAACCAGAGTCGAGGGTCTCCAAAATGTTTTGAAGGAGGACTGGCGACCCCGTAACGATAGCGTGTTCAAGGATCTGCATGTAATTCTTCATCTGCAGGTCGATCACCTGAAGCTGCGATCCCTCCATCGACTTAATCCAATTCATCGCTTGACACTGTGGATCTATCATTAGTGGCCATCTGGAGGCTCTGGAGACAATGACTCCATTGTCTACCGAAAATGAGTCTCGAGGAAGGCCTTGGATATTCCACTCTCGAACCTTACAATAAGAGCGATCAGTGTAGGAACGCAGGCATTACGATGTCCCACGGATTTGTCTTTGATCAAACAATGGGGAGAGGGGGTTCGTTTGCAATAAAAGTGGTAGGAAAATATCACTGCATAAAAATTGGAAATACGTTAAAATCCAAATTATTACAAAGTATCATATTCTTAAATAATCGAGCATAGTTGACTAATTTGTATATCCCACCAGCTGAGTGGCATATAGGTTTCTACCTTTACGGAGGGTTTAAATGCATGGTTCCTGAAAAGCACTTTACTAAATGCTTTTGGGTGAATCGTGTTAACTTCCGTGTAAACACTAGATAATTGCTTTATCCATGCACCAAGAATGTTTAACGATGGCAAAGCTTACTTTAGCGGGATCTGAGAGGAACTCAGTGAAGGAATAAGGAGTCGATTTTGGAACTTTTTCCTTCTCCACAGCTCCAACCCAGGTAGAGACCAGTTCCTCGCGATATTTTGACAAGAAGGGACCCATGTAAGAGATATACCCGGCTGAGAGCAGACAGTCGCCTGGAAGGAGTCCAACCCTGCGCTCGAGATCAGCCACTGTCTGAGTCCAGCGTACCTTCTCGTCGGCTAAACCATCTACTAACATTCGCGCCCTTTCAAGCATCTTCTCAAGCGCTTCTGCCTTGCGTCTCAATTCGTCTTTCTGTTCCATCTACGTAGTGGGGCAAGCACAAGTGTTAAACCATCGTGGTCAAGTGCGTCAAGCTGAATAAAGAAGACCTTATCGTTATACTCCTGTTGCAGACGGGCCATTTCAGCCATAAGGGCATCGAGTTTCGCCTGAGCTGCGGCCAATTGAGCCCTTTTCTCAGCCAAAATAGCCTCAGCTTGGAGGAGACGTTGACGCTTTGGTTCTACGTAACGATAAATGCGACCGTATTCCTCCATAGCTCGTACCCACATACACAATGACTTGGCAGCGAAGGAAACCTAATGCGTACATAATGAATGAGGAGTGAATACTTAAGTAATGTCATAGATTTCCCATTCTCTACCAGAAATGACACTAACACACTCCAAGTGTTGATAAATTGAGCTACTTCTAAAGAGGATACTGGCATGGCAATAAAATTACGGATAGCAAACACAAGTTTCTTAGTGAAATGCCGACATTTTTATTGCTCACCTTCCCCACGACTTCAGGCATAAAGTCGTCTTGCGCGCAGTAGGTGCTGATTTTTTTGAGTGTCTTATCGCTAATGTGGTCCTTATCGAAGTTGACTAATTGGTTGATGAAGTCCTGCTCTCCCAGTTGCTTCTTAGCCTCCGTCCATGTCGGAGGCGCTTGTCGCAAGATCATTACAGCTTCCATCACCTACAGAAGCAGCAATACCGACGGTGATGAAGGAGCACTCTGCATTCATACAATTACCATTTGCACCCTGTTACAGAGCGCTGATACCTTATGTCGTCGTTCACATCATTCAATTTCATATAGTTGATTAGGAAATTCCTCCTCAATGAATTTGTGCTGCTTGCCAAGTTATCTGCATACCTATATGCTGTTTTAAAAGTTTTTTTTGAGATAATGAGTTTAACTATGTCATCTACCTCCCAAAGCAGATCCGAATTTATCTTCCTTACAAAAAATCACTTCTTGTAGGATCATTAATTCAAAAGTTGTGTGCGCCGTTAAATAATCAAACCATTTAATCCGAAAAGTCAAGGTCTAAAGTGGATGGGAGAGGTGGCAAATATGAGAGCTACGTCAATTAATGCATGCATGTATGGATGCCTTGCACATGGTGAGGCGTTTTATTTTTGCTATTTTCAACGATTTGTATGGTAAAATTAAACTGCAACATCACAACACAATCGATCAAACTATTGTCACATCGGAAAACTGCATTTTTCGAGCAGAAGTGGAACCTCACAAATCATTGAACCCTACCTTTCGAACAAGATGGGGAGGCTGACCGTAGGATTTGATTTCTGTGATGTCCTTCTTATTAAGGGCTTCCAATGCTGTGATAGCGGCCTCCAGGGCCGGCATTGCTTGGGCCAGGTCGGCTTGGGCTACCTCTGCCATCTGGAGGCACTTCGTCTCGTCCACTTTTATTTTCTCTTTCGTGAGCGTTACCGACTATATAAAGAGAAGTGTCACAGAATTTCTAACACAATTTTAGCCATTTTTACGGTTGAGTTGGAGGTACGAGGCTGAAAAGTGTGTCGTAGACAAATACATGGCTCTTAAAAGATTTGCATTTCTTATTTTAAATACATCAATTGACGCTCTCCTTATATGAGCTTGATATGAGTTTCCTTAATTTGTCAGAATCCAGTTTTTCTTACCTTGGTTTGCTCATCGGCTTCCCGCCTCTGTTCAACCAAAATAACTAAGTAGTCATCGCACTCCTTTTGAAAGACAGCCACCTTTTCTTTTGCCTCACTCAGCTCAACAGACATTTCTGAACAAGCGAAACATAGATGTCATTTGAAGTCGGGAAACTGTTTGAAATAATAGTCAACATGACAATGTGCTTATCACTGCTGAAAAAATAAATAGGTCAAACTTGCATAATCTGGTAAATTATGAACTTGAGTTCTCTTCTTTCCGAGAGACTGCAACAGTGTCACAAGCATTTCCATGGGGTGGATGGTATAAAAGTGGCGTTCCAATGAAACCATCAAACGAGTTACAAAAAGAGTTTAATGTTTCCACAATTTTGCTCTGAGCTAAGTACTTATTTTAGGTCCATCGAAAGCATTGCAAAACGGGGCTATTACCCATTCATAAAGCCATTCGTGTCAACAGATAGAAAGCAAAGGACTTGGAGAACAAGGAGTTATGCCATAACAGTAGATGCTAACCTTCAACTTTTGTTCGTGTATCGTCAATTTTTCCCAAACCGCTTCTCAACTTGTTCGCCCAATCACTGAGCTCCCTCCGCTTGGACTCCAGCATTCTGCCAAAAAACATTGAGTTTGTTGATGCATGAAAACGTGAACAACCTGACCAATCTCCAAGTTTACTCACTTTTTGTACCCTGAAACGAGTTCAAGGTAATTTGTAGGGGTTACGTAATTTCGTCTCCTCAGCTCATCCATCATCTTCTCTGACATTTGAGTAACCGTATTGTGCATTAAAGCAAATACCCGCGCCACACCCGATTTCATCTTTGCCTACAACGCCACATGCCAAATGATGTGTACTGCGCTTTTTTCTGAGCAAAACTTTACCGAGCAAACACAAAGCCAGTATGACAATAAGCCTTATCATTTGGATGTTTTATATGCACAGCCCAGAACAAACTTGTTTTGTATGGTTTGGCTCAAATGTCCGAAGACAATATTTATTTTCACGCAGATCACAATTCCAACAGGTTTGCATTTCGGTGAGCATGAGCATGTACCAAAGAACATTTCATTTTCATATTAGTAAAGGAAAAAATTCTTGTTAAGTAAACAAAAAACAAGGTGCGATTTTGTTTGTTCAATAACGCAAAATAAAACACACTTACACTGATTCGAAGATCCTTGAGAGAAAAATTGGGATTTTATAATTTGGAACTATTTTAACTTATCGTAACCTAGGAAATCCCTTATGCTATTCTAGCTTATGCATAAAATAGGCAAGTGTTTTATAGTGATTTTAATGGCTGATTTTGACTGAAATGGTGAGGAAATTGCATGTAACCAGTTAATTTTTATCCACGTAGGAAAATTAAACACGGCATTGTTCAAATGTTTAGGCGTCGACTTACGTCCTCATTGCCGTAAAAGAGGTCCAGATCGCTCAAGTACTTAGTGGCCACTTCAAGAAGAGCATCATTTGGCCACTCGCTGAACCAGTCGATTGTAGTGCAGTTCACGAACCCCGGATACATACGTATACGATCTCTGAACGGATCGCCGATGGGACTCATGCAAAGGACAATATGCAAACTGGCCCGAACCCGTTCGATAAAGTACCTGTAAATCGACTACACGCAAAGGGGAGAATGAAAGTGCCTGTTAAGGTCTGCGGCGTTTCAAAAATTTGCTGTATTACCATGCCTCCCAGATTTGATGATATTTCTGGTAATACTAACCTGAGATGATTCATCTACGCCCTCCTTTTTGGCCTGATCGACGATGGCATTGGATACTTCTTCGAACTCATCAGATTTGAAGAGATTGGGAACTTCGCCTGAGCTCAACATGTTGTTAACATCCTCCAGAAAGGCTTCCTCAGCCACATGAGTGTCAGAGAAGAGAAACAGTGTTGATTGACATTGCACTCCAGTTTGACGATAAAGTCTCTTCAGGTCTATAGGGTGTGGGATAAGCCAGTAACAACAAAAGTTCAAGTGATCCTGCCCACATTTTATGCGTTAATACCCTTTTATTATTTAACCGATTAACAGACTTAATGGATTAAAACCAACGCATTAGAACATGTTTATATTTCATTACGCCTTAATAATGTAAATTTTTGAAGAATTATTCGCACTCTTTGACCTTCATAACTTCACACATAAATGGGAGCAAATAATGACCTCACCTTCACGAAAGTCAGCCTTTCTATAGTTCTTATTCACCTCTATGTTAAAGATTTTGTAGCGACAGATATGACCAGCAAGTTTTGTCACGCTGTTTCGTCCACTGCCGCCAACACCAACGAGCAGCATGTTGCCGCGCGGCTGACTGATGACGCGGAGGATTCTGCAGGCTATAATCAGTGCATGCGAAATCCCATTTTCGCATTTAATTGTGCAAGGAGCCAAACATTAGCCTTACATTATCGTAGGTCGTCACTTACACTTCTATGAGACCAATAATAATGTCCAAAGTTGAACAATTGCACAAAAGAGCTTATTTTATTTTATTAAAGAATTGCTTCAGTGAATGAGTAGGAGCACGCAGTAGGTATAAAATATGTAGAACAAATTTAGCTTACTATGCTCTATGGCATCTTTGAATAGTACGAGGTCCATCGGAACAACACCAGGAGAGTCATTGTATTCATTGAGAAACTCAGACAGACCTGAGCGCAGACGATAGAGGTCCTGAATGTCCTCATAGATCATATCTTTATTCAACACATCCACGAATACGGGTGAGCTTCTTGATGGACAAAGATTGTGGAAGGTTTGATCAAAGTATTGAGCCAGCTTCTCACCCAGAATCTCAATGAACTGACCCACATCTTGTGAATTGATGAGACGATCAGCAAAAACACGAAAGCTTTCGTGTATCCACAATCGTAACATGGCGGTCTTTGAATCAATAGTGATTTTGTTTGCTCTGAGAATACCTTGACAAATCTACAGTCAATGAAAAAAACTATGAGCAAAAAAAAATGGAATCAAAGCCTGGAGAAGAAGACACTGCATACCTTAGATATGTCACGAAGATTAAACAAATAATGGATTCGTGTTGGAGTTGGCAAGAACTTTGCCACAATGGAGTTATAGAACGAGACAGTTGCATCCGTCAAAGTATCACCCATGGACCTAACCTCATCTTCAAAGTCAGCAATTTTCTGGTTTATCATGGTGCCGAAAATTTGTTTTAGATTGGCATCCTGAGGAAGAAAATAAATTAAAAACTGCACAAACTGAATAGGCTAAAGGAGTGATAAGCTTGCATACCGTAGGAAAAGTGACATTTATTTGGTTGAAACGAGATTGGAGACGCCGAGAGATTGACATTCGACCCCCTCCAGGTGGTCCCATACAACCAAGAAGGAACATTTTTTGTACTCGCTTGGGCAGCTGTTTTTCCCGATCATACCAAAAGCCGTAGTCGATCCACTGACGAATCAGCTCTAACGGCGGCTGGGAACCGAACTCGTCTTTCACAGGCATGTTTAAGTCATCCATGAAGGTGATCATTTTGGTGCCTCTAGTCGGCACATAAGTACCCTTGGTTCGTTTTTCTACGCGCGACTCGATGATGTCTTGGACGTTATTTGAGGATGTCTAAGGAGACAATGCAGATTTCGCGTGTACTTTGCTATTTGTTTGACACTTGCCCATTCATGTTAAAAGCAGCCTAAATGTTGTAACAACGCTATCTTGCATAGGTTCCTGTCAGTGTATTTAGGAATGACGAGCGTGTGTTAAGGATCTTTAAAATGAAGCAACTTTTGTGCTCATTGAGTCTTCATTTCTTCACTCTGATTCATAGTTGGATTAGAAAGGCAAACCAATTTTAATTACTGATTTGTGCTATTGAAGCAAGTAAATCATGAATAAACAAAAAAATGTGCCTGAGTCAATGCATTAGGTTTAGTGAAAGTTGGGTCTACCTGCGCTGACATGTTGATAGTGAGATAGGTCCACGATTCTTTGTCAAGGTTAAACAGAACGTCTTGTGCAATTGATGTCTTTCCCGTTCCAACCGGTCCAGTTATGAGGACCGGGCTCCGTCCCGAGACAAGCGTGTTTACCAAATAGTTGTAGCGGATAGTATCGACAGTGGGGACGAGAATCTTGTAAAAGGGTTGCCTGTATTGTCAGAAGTCGAAGTAACATTGATGTCATACAATCCACCAAGGCGTGATAAAAACTGGCAACCTACTCTGGGTCATACTTCCACCCACCACGCAGTTTCTCCTCCCAGTGGATCCAAGCTCGCGATTTGGCATCGAGGAAGAACTCAAAGATTGAGTCTTTGCTGGGAAAACTACCATCCATTTCGCGGATGTAGGAGTCTATCTTCTTGCGCCCGTCCTCATCGACCACACAGCACACCGACCATATCGTGCAAAATTGGAAGAGCATCTCGATCAAGCGAGCGTACAGTTCCGGATCGGACATATCATACTGAAAATACGAGATCCAGTAAATATGCGAAACCTTCTTAATATAAACGTCTATTTTTATTCATTGTAAAGTGGTATTCGATGGTTTGGCTTGTTACACTAGTGAGTGAGCACATACGCGAAGTCTAACGGATGATAAAAAGTTTTCAGTGCAAATCACTGTCGCTTAAGTCACATAACTGCCGCATCATGTTTGGGACATCTGCTATGTATTGCTGCAATTTTTCCTTAAATTATCATAACATACTAGGCTCGTGTTAGTGTGTTATCTGCCTTCTAATTTGCTCCCATTAAAACTGTAATAGTTTATATTTCGCGTTGCAAAAGTAAATCCACCACACATTCATCTTTGGTAGTCAAAAATTCTCCACAGTCAGAGGTCATACTTCTCACAAACACTAACTCACTTCACATTAGTTAGTTAGTTACTCTTAATAGGGAACCTATTCTTCTC